GGCATTAGCAAGAGAGTAGATAAAAGAACGCTTAGAAATGGTATTCGTCTAAGATTTTCTCTACAATTTTTAATTTCTACAAGAAAGATAATCTTATTTTTAAAGGAAGTTTTGTTCTTGGACAGTACTGGAAATCGTTTCACTTTGTTGAGGATTTAAATTGAAATATTTTATTAACTACCATTGAATACAAAATCATTATTCCAATCATTGGACACTGGTTTCATTATATCTTTTAAAGCATATTCTTACCGTATGTTCTTTGAGCAATTAAAGGCACCTGAAACAAAAAATGGCTAAAATTTTTGAATTCATTTATTTGAGCTCCCGAATCTCTTAATTTTGGATGAGTCTAGAAACGTAAAATTTATATAAGTTCGTAAAATGTAAAGACACAAATTGCAGCATTCATATACGTAAACAAACTGTAACATACTACTCTATTTATTGAGGATGCATGCACAGGAGTATTTCTTCACTGACAGGTACTTAATTAAGATTGTATTAATACCAAGATTTAAGCTTATAGTTTCCAATATGTGTCTTCTGATAAATTAATTGAATGATAAATGTTTAGTGGAAAACGAATAGTTAGAATTTTGTCGTTTGATTGATGCTGAAATTCTATGAATTCAGAATTATTATGGCTTAGAACTTTTTCGTAGTTTCCGCACGTCAAGATTAGACATAAATAACTCCGTGTGGGCAATTTATTTTCAAAACGTGTCAGCAGTCGGCGAATCGCAGTATGATTTATGTCCTATGGATTCTAACACGTGACTACAATGCAGTTCTTAACTTAAACTTCTATTCGTAAAGCATATAATCACAAAAACCCACTACTTGAAGTTGTACTTCAGTGATTCGTTCTCCGTCCAACAGAAAATGTTAGCATAATATGCCTGTAATCTAACTCAGTCTAAACGGGAGTTCAGTGTTTACGTGAACACATGCCAAAAAAGCATTCCTTCATCATAACTACCTTAAAGTTAAATGTAGTAGATAATGTAATCTGTTTTTATGATGGTTTTCGCACTCGCAATAAAGAGTCAAATCGTTAAAGACTAAAGCAGAGCATCTAGAAGATAGTCAACAGATGGATCGATCATAGTAAGTTACGCGAGGCTGTTTTAAACTGTTAAAAAATTTCTAAATCAAACACTACGAAAACAGAATCCTAACACTGAATACGAAAGATGCAAAAATGTTAAAGAAAAATTATTATGCGATTTTTTAAAGGAAAACTTTGCTTAAAACTTTCAAGGTTCACATATTTACATAAAAACACACATATATAGACACATAAAAAGCTCACATTTTCACATTTTGATAAGTTGTCTCTTAAGAAATATCTAAAATTATAGCTATAGATATACATGCAAAAAAAATTGAAATTATGTGTGTGCTTAACTAAAATGTACTGTGTACATGCGTGTGTATGTGTGCATAATGGAAAAAGGCTCACATGCACGTGCACCGAATGGCTGACACCTGCTACATGGTAAACATCACTTGCTGCTCGCTTGTCAGCTGCATACATAACAGAAAAGTACCAATCTAGTTAACAAAAATGTAAGTTTCTAGAACAAATGTTTAAAAAAAGTATAATTATAATTTATATTTATAATTATAATGTATTAATTATATATACAATTATTATTTATATTATTATAATTATATTATAATTTCTATTATCTTTATAAAATTATTCAATTATTATCTGTTTAATTATGTGTCTTTTCTTTATATTTAAATTCTCCTTATAATTTAATGTATGCTTTTTATAATTATAATGTATTAAAAAAGTATAATTTTAATTATTTTAGACCGAAAAGTAAAATCCATCATATTATTGTTAAAATGATACATTTTCTACAGATGATTTAAATCGTACTTCTAGAACCAAAATAAAACAGAGTACACATATTTTGTCAAAATCCTTTCGTTGTTGTCGTGACTTCTCTGACAGCAACATCAGCAAACTCCACGAATTCATAGTGGCAAGGAGTAGAAATTGCGCCTGTCATTGGCAGGAGCCTTGACACCACACGGGTGACAAGAAGATTTTGAATAAATGCGCCCCCACCCCAAGTTTTGATGCAGAGTACCTCGGGAAGGGACGGGTCTGAGGGTCTCCCACTACTAATTACCTCTCGGGAGGATTTTTTGCGCGCCACATATTTAAAGTGTCCCCATGCCAGACAGACACTGTACCTTTACAAACATCCGAACACGGGCCCTTGGTTACCGCAATCAGCGTCGCTAACCACCATCTCATTTCTGCGGTTAAAATACTGTAAAAAGCAAAATTAAATAACGCTGATAAATTAAGTTGGGAGCATATATTATTGTTTACATCTAAACTGTAATAAGATAATATCATAACATGGGTTAAGTTGGGAGCATATATTATTGTTTACATCTAAACTGTAATAAGATAATATCATAACATGGGTTAAGTTGGGAGCATATATTATTGTTTACATCTAAATTGTAATAAGATAATATCATAACATATTTAAAGTATAAATGCAGTTTTCAACTTCAGAGTTTTAATCTTGGAAACAAAATTAGTTGGATGGGCGTTATCCTAGTTTTACCCCACATGCAAGGTGAATATAAATAATCTTCCTTCAAGATGTCTTCCATGAAGCCTTCTATCTTTTGGGGCAGATAGCCTTTGTGTACGTTCCATTATCAAAGACGCAAACCGCTTTCATTTCTTTTTCAGAAAGAAAATAAATATATGGCATTTCTTTTTCATGTTCGTTATGAATCTGCCTTAATAATTTTTACATCATGATTCATTATTATTTAATTTTAATTTTCTGAAAATGCATCGTACTTTGTAACATCTCTACTGGTTTAAACTGCATAGCTAGTACTTTTGCAAAATCAGTTAGGTATAACATCTGATCTACGCAGTAAATTATATCAAAAGGATAGTTAATTATCAAGCAAACTGACAACACTAATAAAAGCTCATAAGTTTATTCGACTTATCTGCTTGAGAATGCCTAAATTAAAATATCATATCACGAATCTACCAGTCATTCTGGACCTGATTTCGACATAAAAACTTCCATTCACAAGAGGAATAATCTTAACAAATTAAATCTAACCTATGCTAAGACTGCAAGATTACGTAGATTACGAAAGAGTTTCGAACACATAACATAACCAAGCAAGATCTACCTGTAACTTCGGCCTAAAGGTAATCCTAGGAAGAACATTCTTTTTCTCCTATCGTTAGGGCTGCAAAAGCAGGCCAGAACTCTCAATCCTATTTTTAAATGACTGCACTTGCCACTCAAAAAATCTATGCAAATTCCGGAGTCAAGAGTCTCGTCTCGTGGAGAAAAGAGGCAGAACTGAAGGATTATTAAATTAACATTTCTTTAGTCATTTTAAGCATACTGGCCACAACTTAGTGATTTAATGTATGGTGATTGTTTTTACTTAGAATTTTTAATATATTTTCAACTATTTCTTTTTGTTAGTTGCAATAAATAATAAAAAAAAGGTATTTTATTTATTATTAAATCTGCCTATAGTACAAAACTTAGCTAAATGGTGTTCGCATTGATTTCAATCTCTAGAATTAAACATTTTTGAAACCAATGACTAAAATACAGCCCTGAAAGTGACAAAATTTTAGAATGCATTGTGTTCGATGAATCTGTTTCCGAGCCAAGTTAATGCAAATTTTCGATTTCTAATGTTATTACTATTAAAACGAAATGACAACTTAGCTTAAATTCGTTTTAAAAGCTCTCTATTTTATGTTTTAAAAATCTAACTTAAAATAAGAAAAGTTATGTCGAAGATTTAAATTTTATGAAATATTTTAATGTTATAAATTATTAATTTACGTATTATATGTACAACGTAAATCAAAACATGTACTTAAAGTTCAGAGGCATTTTCAATGATATCATTTCTTCTTTGCGTATAATTAAAACTAAAATATACAAAATTGCTCTTTCACTTATTGCAGTTTTACTTTTTATGTGTTATACATTTTAAGAAAATTAAGCATGTAACATAAAGTAAATCTTTTCGCTTTGTCTAAAAATTTAAAAAAAGGTATCCTCGAAATGCATTAACTTGTAATAAAAATTAGTTTAATTATGCTTAAAAATTTACTCTTAAAAGCTTATAAACTGAATTTTATTAAGTAAAACCTTATTAATGAAATGCAGATTATATTTTTCTGCAGTGCACTTACATATATTTCAGAAACATTGATAATTCCTTTAGATTCTCCTAAAGAGTTATCAATTACTATTTATCATTTATTAATCATTGTTTAATATTTAAAGATTATTTCTGTATTTTGTATACATTTACTTTCATATCAGTTTTGTTTTCTAGTTTTTCTTCAATTATTTTTAATTTGTTCCTTCCTGTCAGGTATTTTACCACCCTTGATTGAAATTAATTCTGTGTAGTTTATCTTTTAATTTTTTTTTTTTAAATTCTAGTTGTGTCTGTTTAAAAATCGTTAAACATATCACACTTAAAAACATATACATAAAACATTATAATAGACACTAAAGAAGGTAAATAATTAAATAAAGTAAGTAAATTTCTTTATTTAATGTAACTGACTAAAACGATAAAGTATGATATGGATAAAAAATTTGAATTGTAACCAACTTTTATTCATAATTCTATAATATTAAAATCCCCGGACGACCATTCGTAGAAGAAAGCAAATACCCATGCAGCTTTCAGCAGTGTAAAAAATTACAAAAGTATCTTTTTGATCTTATTTTGAAAGCTTTCCAAACTTTCTAGGAGAAAAGGAGAGAGGAATATGCATTGCTTAGTTTACTTCTTCCCGCTCATATTCGATAGAGTCAGAACATCCCTAAGATTTTCCCCAAGCAAAGGGAAATGAGCATCTCTACTATCAACCCCGCATGCGTCAATGAGGAGGGATGGAAGGATCGGAGTTTCATCCTGCCAGTGGTCGAATATCTCCACATCCGGCAGGGAATACATCTCTCTGTTCTCTCTTGCGTCAGATTTCCTTCATATAGGAAAGAGTTCTCTTTAAGCAATTGCATGAATTGGACGAAATGGATGCTGTTATAATTAAAAGGATTCATTTTCTTAAATAATGCCGTATATCGATGATTATGACAAAAGCATTTACTGAATTGTAAGAGTGTCAGTCATAAGAAGATTTTATGTGAGTTATCTGAAATCATCATGGCACCTTTTTGTCTAGTAAGTTAATTCTTTCTTATAAACTTAAATATATTAGACTGAATAAACCAAACAGTGAAAAGAAAAAAAAACATCACTTATTTTTGAACTTACGGAGTGTGTTGAAATCTCATAAATCTCTGCATACAAACTGGTATTTTCCTAGAAATGCACTAAAACTTTTTTTTTCCAAAGTTGATTCATACTTTACGCAATCATAAATAAGAAGTTTACATTCCGTCATATATTGAAACTACATTAATTACTTGAGAAACAGACAATATAAATTCGCTTAAAGGCCACAACTTTAAGAAAGGGAATAATATATAAAGAATACTTATTTACTATGATAATAAGCCAGAAAATAATTCATTGTTTGTTTTACTCAGTAAATATCTAACAGCATTCAGTTGCTATAGAGAGAAAATATTGATTCTCAGAAACGAATTCGGCCATAAATATGTGGATAGCAGCTGTAGTGAATGCTTAAAAAGCTTTATTTGAAAACACATTTGATAGCAATTGTTGAAAACTGTCATTTGTTTAATTAAATAATCAAAACATAAATGAGTAACTGATTTATAGGATTTACAAATCAGCTACATTTATATTTTTTCGAAATAGAATGGTGTCAGAAGAAGTTGATTTTACTTCAAAATTTCTACCTGTGCTGTACTAGAAAACTGAAAACTTCAGTTAAATCTAAGAAAAATTCGTTTTTGGAAGTTTGTTATTTTGGATAGGCAGAACATGACCAATAATAATCGGAAAGCAAGAGGCAGACGCGACTGGGGACTTTGGAGATGGACAGCCGTGTGCTTACATACGTTAACTTTCGAATGCGTGTTGGTATCAGTTCGTCATGTTGATTCCGACTTACGGCAACTGAGCTCAAGAGTTGTCATGACCCGTTATGGTTCATTGCGGGGATTCATCAGTAATCTTTCTAACCGGCAGCTGCATCCGGTTGAAGTGTTTCTGGGTGTCCCTTACGCAGGAGCCCCAAAAGGCCCACTTCGATTTATGCCCCCGGTGACATCACCTCACTGGAAAGGGGTACGATTAGCTGATCAAATGGGACCAGTGTGTCCTCAAAAGCTTCCGGATGTCGCTAATGAGACTGAAGCTTTGAAGAAGATGCCTTTAGGGAGGTACAGGTACTTAAAGAGACTTCTGCCTCAGTTAGCGAATCAAAGCGAGGATTGTCTTTACCTCAATATTTATATTCCGGCAACGGGTAAGTACTATATATTATTATAGTCTCTTTATGGTAATTCATTACAGCTTTCGCCGTATTGTTTTGAATTTTTTGAAATTTACTTTATTATGTTTACTTTATAATTTCTGCCTAACTGACATTTTATGATAGCGTTTAATAGGAATATCGTAACAAATCAGTTTCGTCCATTAAGAATATAAAAGTTATAACTTAAGTTAGAATATAATTAATGGACTTATGACCTGATATTCATGCATGATTGTTCATTTTATAAAGGTTTCACTAATATTGTACTCTTTGATTTAATAACTCATAATCATTAAAAAAATATCTTTCTTAAGGTTTTTAACGTGAACATAAAAATTCATATTTTGCTTCCCATGAAAATAGTAATGATTATGAAAATTATCTTGTAAATACACAGCAAAATATTGCTTTAAGTATATTATTTTTGTTTTCATATTTTTACAATTGTTGACGATTTGATATTGAGTCTGATACTTTTACAGGTTTAAAAATTCTTTACTGTGTTCTAAAAGACGCATTATGGTTCTAAAAGACGCGATTTATAAAAGATCTAATGGCGTATTAGATCATCGTAATCATGTTGTATAAAATAGCGAAAGTAAAGAAACTGAAAACAATGATATAGTGCTTATAATATTATTAAAATGAGAAGTATGCTGCTCTTTTGATGCGTTGATGCACGTTAATCGCATTGAAAATGAGAAACAAAATGGATGGGAATTCATTTTCTTAAAATTGTACCCTGATCTCTATTTTGATAATGGATTATTTAAAATTATTAAAATTATTGCATATTTGAGGGCCGAAATAATGCTTCTTACTATGTATAAGAATATTTTAAGTAAATCAAATATATAAACCTGCTTTATCCTCTACACACTCTTTCTTGCAAAAAAGATGTTTCAAAGTCCTCATCAAACTTTAAAAATTACAGAAATTCAAAAATGCATATGACTGACAAATTATTTCATTAGCTGAGAACCCTATACTGTTATAAACAGTAAATCACTTGAAATTCAGTTGAAGTTGATAAGTTAAATATAAAAACCGTTTGTTTGGTACAAGATTGAAACGAGATTCTTTCAAGGGAAACTGAGAAAAACTATAAATCAGCATTACTTCACTCTCCATGACGTCAGAAAAATGGACCACATTTTCTCCCAACTCGAAAAAACCGGGCGGCTACTCAATTTCTTCTGGTGAAGGTTTCTTTTTTCTCGAAATCAGATTCCAACCGAAAAATCATTGCCTTGTCACAGACACAAACATTTGGGAGCGTCTTTTTAAAGCTGTAGAATTTTACTTGATCTGTTGTTAATTCCTCTAAAAACCCTAACAAATGTGGAGCGAATTATGAATATGTCTGAAGCAACAGCAAACTCGTGAGAGGGCTTAAGGAACTTTTTTATTTAAACAGAATTCAGAAAATAAACGCACTGTCTTGTACAACAATATCAGTCACAGTTCGTGGGGATTTGAACTAAATAAAACAGTCAAATTTAAGTCAAACGTTAAACAATGGTCAAAGACAAAGAATTAGATATTATTTGAAGTATGTTAGATATTATTCGGTAACTTTACTGGAACGTCAAAATCAAATTGTCAGCGATAAAACGCAAAGCCTAATAATTGAAACAATCAGAGCTGGCAAGAAACAAACAAGTAGCATGTATGCGAATGCCAGAAAATCACTCTTTCGTAAATTCCAAATGCCTCAGTTTAAATACTAGTTATTCATTTGCATTCCAGTGACAAATATGGAAAGCAGAAGTTATAGTAAACACCGAAATCATAATACTGGATAATATAAATAGAAATAATGCTCAGTCTTAAAATCTCCCTATCATTGAATAAAACTCATCTTCATGTTGTAATGAACATACTATTTTTGAAGCTAACTGCAATTCAAATTTCAAGTGATATATTATTTGTAATAAATAATATAAGGGTGTCACTCATTGAAACAATTTAACATTAATTTCCATTTCAAATTTTCCATGATTTGGAAAGTTTCATGTGCGCAACTTTTGGCTAGGTTATTATATTCAGGCAAAGCAGCAAAAGGGTTACCTGCCTATGAGGGGGCATGCTAACGTGGAGGACTGTTTAAGGTAAACTGGGTTGTACAACATTATGCATGGAGAAAACCACGAAACCCAACCATGCAGTCAGCCCATTCGCCGGGATCCGATCCCAGGTGTAACTTACCAGTGTTCAGCGACTTTACCGTTCCGCCGCTTGTGGGCCCTGCAGCTTTCGGATCCCTTTGTATACCCACGCACACACACACATACATATTAATAATTTACCTGTATGAGAAGGAAATGTGTCTCATAATTTTGTATTCATGACATGCTCGAGATACACATGTGAAATCAATATATTTTTTATATTATATATAATCCTTCGCGTCTAGTTTTTTGTTTTTATATATTTAATAACACACGCATTAAATAACATCCAAAACGCACACGATATGTTTTGGAATTTCACTGCCTACATTGCTTCGATAAGTTTAAACTGTTTTTAATTCTTTTATGTTCCGTCATAAAATGTGAAACAACGTCTACCATTTCTGTGTGGAAATGAAATCAAGTCCTCTTTTAAGACATAAATTGGAATTTATGTTACTCTAAGATTTTAAATGTCCGCACTCTGAAACATTAGGCCGTAAAAACAGATTTTGTATAAACTGTGCATAAAATGTACTCCAATCTGAAATGTTTTCTTAATTTAATGTAAAATATACTCCAATCTGAAATGCTTTCTTAATTTAATGTAAAATATACATCTGTCTCAGGTCTTTGCCTGTTCGATTTTACAGTTTACAACGGCTTACTCTCTTTTCCCTTTATATACAAGTATTTTAACAGTAGTGTATTGCGATAAGTATTTTTCAGGCATTATATGCAGGAGTTTTAAAAGTAAATGGAATCAATTTAATGATTTTGTTTTATTTGTTTACGGGTAGCAGTCATATATTTTCGAAAAACGTTGTGATGTATCAATATGAATTTTCATGAATACTCCTAGCTCTAAAAATGGCATTCCATAGGAATAACTTAGTTTGAATTTTTTTATTTTAAAAATTCAAGTAAGTAATAATATCAAATATATAAAGCGATTGTATCAAATAAGTGACATTCAGGTAATTAATAATTTAAGTAAAAAAATAAGCAAGAAGCATAAACTTCGCACTTCGCTTTGTACCTTAAAATTATCATTATTTTCAGCTTCTTAATTTAGAAGTTATTGTTTCACCGTGATCATATTGTGTTTTGGCAGTACAGAAAGAATTTCATTTTATTTGCGTAAAATACTTGTTGGAAAACTCTTGTTTAAGTGTTCAGTGAGCTAGGTTGGACTTCTTGTTTAGTTGATAGCGGTAAAGAACTCTTGAGATTATCTACCGAAGAGGAAATTTATTTTCATGGAGATTCTCCTAATTCTTGTTCGTATTCGTGTTACGCAAAGGAAAAATCACAAAAAACCGTCATGTAGCAAACCCTCTCGCAGGAGATTCAACTCGAAAAAAATATCTCAGAAATAGACTGAAAAATCTTGTTTATACTCTAACTACATTACGTTTCTTGCGTTATTATATTTACATAACCGCTTTTAGCTTCATTAAAAAGAAATAATAAAAATAAATTAAAGACATATAAATTTGCATCTTAAATATCTTAGCTACATTTCTGATCGATTTTTTTCATTCATACTTTTACATTCTCAGTTTTCGCCCTTTTTACTTCCTTGTACGAAGTAAAAAGGAAGTATTGTAATCGCGAAAAGTTTCAGGCAGCATATTTCAACGAAACTATCCATTTTCACCGCTATCGAATACAATTTGTTGTATTCGATAGCGGTGAAACGTTTTTGCGTGATATCTGTACGTAAGGACAAAATAAAAGACTTGTTGCCTCCAAAAAAATTATAAAACTGCTTTAAAATTAATTCTGAAGAGAATTTTTAGTGGCGTCTGTACGAACGTATGTACGTACGTACGTACGTTCAGTGGGCTAGGTTACGTACGTCAGTGAGCTAGGTTATATACGTACGTACGTACGTATCTCTCATAACTCAAAAACGAGTAGATTCAGAACGTTGAAATTTTATATATAGGTCTGCTATAACATGTAGATGTGCACCTCGTATTTTAGTTGCAATCGGCCGCACCAAACGTATATAAATATATATATATATATATATATATCCACTCAGTTACCCGGCTCAGTGATCTCAGTTTCTTTACTCTTGTACTTACTCTTGTTTGTAAATTGTACATTTTCTTACTCTTGTTTGTAAATTGTACATTTTTTGCTTTAAAAATGATTGAATTATGTTGTTTTTATTTTTCGGTTAAGGTTTTTATGCCTTTAGTAAATCTGTATGCAATATTTTTAGAATTATCAACAATATCAAAGTTGTTTAAGTGCCGCTAAGCCTTTTGTTTTTCATGGCGGCCATTGATTGTTTACATTTGAAACAGTAGACTAGTGGATTTGTTGCCAATCTAGAGAAACTTAGCTTCGCAACAACAAAGATAACGCCTTCATTTATTATTGCGAATTAAATCGACTGAATTAATTGAATGAGAAATACTCAATCGTCTGTGAAAAACTGTTTCTTTTTTGTTTTGTTTGCTTAAGTTTTTATACATCATTGTAGCTTTATTATAGTATTTGAATAGAACATGTGACAACGATTAGATAATTCTATTCTTTAAATGATATAAATTTTGTGCATTATGAGTTAGAATATGAACAAAATATAATATTGTTAAGTGAATCTAGCGCCAGAGTGTCGCTATGGTAAACAAATACTAGAATGAATTTTAAAGAATGCCTTTATTCTATTGTGGTTTATGCACTGTCGGCGAAGTAGTTTCAATTCAATCCAATAAGTTTAAATGAAATGCAAGAAAAAATGCGTATAATTTAATATTCCGTACAAGGAAGTCATGTGGTGTACACATCAAATTTTTTTGTCTT